TTATTATTGAGTTGACATTGTAGTTTTATTATCTCTTTTACTTTGCATCATTTTGATTTATTTTTTTTAATTCTATTCTAGTTCCTCGCCTCTTACATCAACCAACACCCATCACGAATTATTTTTATATTATAAATATTCCGCCATTTATATATATATATTTTCTACTTATATATACCCTTTATAAATAGTATTCCCTTTTTCATTCTTGTATATCTTTTTTAGTCAAACATATCTTAATTATTATATAGCATTTTGCACATGGCGTTTTTACTTTCTAGTATTTATTTATTATTTTAGTCTTTGATTAGTTATTATTTTTTCCAAAATGGCATATATATATATATCTCTCTCTTTTTCTCGCTCAGATAACAAGTAGCTTTCCTTCGCAGCGCTATTTTAACCCACATTATTATTATAACTATTGAATCATTCTTATTATATTTTCTTATATGTAATTATTTTTAGTTATTAGTCAAAATGGGATTTTTATTTTTTTTTATATATATATACATATACATATACAGACATCAACCAAAAAAACCATACTATACATACATACATATATACATACATTATATATATATACACACAAAGAAAAATTACATTAAACATTTTCACTGTGTGAAAAATAGTAATACAAAAGGAAACGTGTGTATCATGGGTGAGGCATTTGTTTAGGTATATTTCTTTGAATTCCAATATTGAATCAGGATTGAATTCAAACCTGCTAAATTTCGATTTCGGAATGGCAGAATTGGATCAGATTACAACGGAATATTTATATATATAATCTCGTAATACTTTTTGTTTCGCATGTTAAAAAAATGGTCTGCAGCAAATGTAAGTACCCCGTTCAATAGTCGCATTTTTTTCATTTTATCTCCGAATCAATAATATAGCTGGTGCATTTGGAAATTTAGGCGAAAAAAAACTAGCAAGAGTTATTTGTCCTGATAAATGGAAAGAGGGCTCACGAAATACAACAGGTTGGTTGGGTGTTTTTCGATTGCTTAGTTTCCAACCTGAATAAATTAAATCAATTGAATCTCGCCTTTTTAAATAGTTGGTACAGACAGGAAACTACACGAGAACAAACTACTCAGTAAACCTGGAAAAAGCCGGTAAGCTGATTATTCGGTTGATTGCATCATGCGTTTAAAAACTCTTTCCCAAAAAATTAATGCTAACTATTGATCAAACGAACATAAAGGTTTAAACCGTACGAGAATAAATGCAAGATTTGCAAGGCGCGAGTTCATCAGGAACATGCACATTACTGTCAAGGTAAAGATAGCACTTATTTAGGGAGCTTTATATAGAGAGTAGTTAATATTCGCCATCAAGGCTGTGGAATGATTGAATTTTCGATTCGAAATTTAAAAAAATACGAGCCACAAGAAAAAGCTCCAATAAGAAATATGCTCGATTATACTATTATTTTAAGTCTTCTTAGAACGTCATTAGTTTCACTTTTAGAAAAACAATTCAATTGATTCATTAATTTATTTATAATTTTAGGATGTGCCTATAAAAAAGGAATTTGTGCTATGTGCGGTAAGCAAATTCTGGACACGACAATGTACAAACAGAGTGCAAAGTGATTCGCGCTGTCCCGACTGACTGACTAAAGATACCGGTGAAAATGGCCAATGGTTCAACTATAGGAGTTGCAACCATATATATTACCATTCTTATTTGCACTAGACGCAATTTTATCATATAAATCAGATATATGATCGATGGTTAATATATTACTGCATACCGATACGATGAATGCACAGACAAATGTTTATTACAATGGCAAATTAAAATTTATGTTTTAATTAAATTGATTATTATGTGATTATCTGAAATAATATTAAATATTGAAGTTGATATAATGGTTCTGCTATAAAAGCATTTATTTTTTTTATTTGCATTAATATAGTTTTATAATTACTATTATTTAATATACAAATACAAGAGAGGGCAACATTTATTATTATTGATATATAATGATATTTTTTCTGAATATAATTCATTACAATTATTATTTTCTATTAATTATTAAAAAATAAGATCATTTAGCTCATATGATTATGAAATTATTAAGTCAATTTTATTAAAATTTATTTTATAATTTATAATCTCATATTTTTTCAATTTTTTGGATTTTTTGCAATTAAAATAATTATAAACTCTTTCAAAAAAAAGTTAAATTATAAATTTTATTTTAACATAAAACAAAACTTATTTAAATATAAAGAGAAAATTTCATGTTTATTAATAAATTAACTTACTAATTTTATAATTATAAAAGTCATTATATAATAATAATAATCTTTTTTTAATAATATTTATTATAAATATTTTATAAATTAATTTTGAAAAAATTTTAATTATAATTATTTAATAATTAAACTAAGTTTTTTGATTAATCTTTATAATAAATCAAGTTTCAGACTTGAAATTATTTTTTTATTTAATTATATACTTAATATTATAATTATATATTTATTTTATTTATTATTTTATAATATTATTTATAATTAAAAATTTTTAATATTAATTTTATAATAATAAAAATTAAATTTTTAATAATTAAAATATAATATATAGTGATGACCAAAAGTAATAACTCAAAGACTAAATAGAATTAAAAAAAATAAATCAAAATGATGCAAAGTAAAAGAGATAATAAAACTACAATGTCAACTCAATAATAA